AATATACGCTTTTTTGACTATGTGAAATAAAAATAATTATAGAAACGAATAAATTTGTTTTAAAATGAAAGAAGATTTTTTTTAAAGCCTACCTTTGATCGATTGTGAGGTCCACAATACGGACACCCAATCAATAAATCTCTAAATCCATCATTATCAACATCTCCTGAAGCCAAGGCTTGACCCATTTGATCAATCCTCCAATCATGTTTTGTTGTTTTAGCATCTGTTGAAATCTCTAAATCTGGATAATGAGACAATCCAATTTCATATGTTCTTAATAATTTTGATATTCCACTAGGTTTTGCATGTCCAAAATACACATAAACTTTTCCGGTTCCAGATAGGTTAGAACTAAATGATGGTGCACTGATTGCTAAATCATCTACTCCATCTGAATTTAAATCTACTACAGCCAAAGACCAACCGAATCTGGACTGAGGAAGAGGGTCAATTGCATACAAGATTTGATCAGAGAGTTCGAGAATGTTTGTTAATGTAGGTGATGGTCGTAATGTTGATTTGCCATATAAAATAAATACTGCACCCGTATGAGGAACATTTGTGTTTTCATCATACAGGGGTGCACTGATCGCTATAAAAAAAAAACATATAGATTTTAGAATAATTATTTACACATATATTTTTTTTAAAAATACTATATATATAGTTGGTAGGTCGATAGTGTCAAATTAAAAACTAACGTCACCTAAATCTTGAAATCCGTCGCCATTAAAGTCACCAGTCACCATATCATGACCAAACAAAGAATAGGAATATGATAATTCCAAATTTATAAATATATCTGGGTTTGTGGGCATAAGCTGACATTTTGAAATCCAACTAGAATCATGGATCATATTCTTTATTATCGAATTACTGGATGTTAAATGATGTTGATTCTCCCATCGTGACGATGAAATTTGAATATATTCGTTTGGGGAGCCATTTGGAGAAGAAATAATGTCATGAAATATTTGATTAAATCTATCACTATCTTCTGAACTCTCCTCGGAAGATTCCGAAAAGTATCTTGGTTTCCGATATATTTTATAATGAGTTATGCCATGTTTATCTTTATGATGACTCAAAGCATATCCACTTGCAGTCAATAATTCATATGAATATGTACGAAAGAATTTATCAAAATCAGTTGTATTTCGTAATCCAATCTTATCAGATGAATTTCCATGAGGTTCATTAAATGGAACACATAATGATGGGAAATCATTTCTTGGACCATCTTCAAGCCAACGTGATAAAT